ATTATAAATGAAATCGAGCGCGCTTAAATGAAAAAACAATATTTTCTTTTTTAATATATATTTTTAATATACAAATAAATAATAAATTCCCGCTCTTTTCATCGATTCTCAAGGAAAACAACTATAGTTGACGAGAAGTCTTTCAGTATACAGATGATGCGTCAGGTAACAAAGCTAAAGGTATACGTGAGTTCCACATTTCAGCTCCGCAGGAGCTGCGCTAACAGGCTTTTTACTTATTTTTTCACGATTAGATCTGATAGTGCCAAAAGTCGGTATTGACCAACTTTTCATAGGAAGGCTATCAGAACGTAGAATTTTAGGGTTAGCAGTTTTAGACATTGAAGTGTTGAATGAATAAAAAAAATCGAAAAAAAAAATTTTATCGAGTGCCTCGTATCCTCGATGGTCTCGTGGACCCTCTCTTATAGATCGTAATATCTTTCTATGCATCACTCATACAGTGCATTAACATTACAGACGCATATATCCAATACTGACTTTGAAGCTAGGCTAGAATTGTAATTGACCAAAAACAAACTATGCCTGTTGATACATCTGCTGAGAACAATTCAAAGATTCAATCAGAACATTATGCAAATGGACGAGTGCTGTCTTGTACTCAAGTTTTCTTCGAACAACTATTTACACGTAAATCAATGAAATCATTACTAGTTGAGCACGCTACAAAGCAAGAATTTGAACGTATGCTAACTTGGATTCAACTACTTGCTATGGGTGTTGGTGCTACTATTGGTGAGTGGGTTTGAAAATAATACACGTAGTAAGAGTTTTGAACGGTCTTTTCAGGTGGGTGCATATTTGCATTAAGTGGGCTAGCTGTTGCAAAATATTCTGGTCCATCGATAATCATTTCATTTATTATAACAGGTGTTATTGCTTTATTGTCATCTTTATCATATTCAGAATTAGGAGCAATGATGCCTAGTTCTGGATCAATTTACACGTATACTTATACAGGTCAGTTACTGATTGTATATGTATTTTACTATTGATGAACACTTGATTTTTCATTGTTTTAGCCTTGGGAGGTATATTATCAAAAGTATTCTTGTAAGAGATTCCTTTTTTTTGTTATTTATTGTAGAATATTTAGCATGGTTTATTGGATGGAATTCCGTGCTACTTTACCTATTCGCCGTTTTGACAGTGGTAGTTGCTTGGAGCAAGCATGTTGTCCTATTTATTGATATTGTATCTGATTATAATGTAACAAGCATGATTGTTCAAGCACCAGTGGCTTGGGACGAAGACGCAGAACATCTTTTTGTCACTGGTCAAGTGATTAATATACCTGCTATTGCAATTATTATTGCAATTACAATTCTTCTTATTATTGGGATTCCTGCAACAACTATAGTCAATCTTGTATTGGTTGTGTTTAAAATTATTATACTTTTAATATTCATTTTCGCCTGTTGTAATTATGTAAATGTCAATAATTATAATCCATTTTTTCCACCAAATGAAGGTATATACTTGTCTGATTGATATATTTGAGAAATGAATGCATTTGATTGTGTGTGTTAGGTTCGTTTAGTGAATATGGAGTAACGGGCATGTTGCAAGCATGTACTTATGTTTTCTTTGCATATGTTGGTTTTGATTCAGTTTCAACAGTTGCACAAGAAGCAAGGTCACCAGAGAGATCTCTGCCAATTGCTATTATTGGGTCAACAATTATTTCATTGCTGCTTTATGTTGGAGTCGTTCCATATAGGTTATTAGACACAGATAGTCCTCTTGCTGAAGCAATGTAAGCCATTACTAATGTGTTAGAGAATATTAGTAGTACTTGTTGTTATTTTTCTAGAAAAGCTACACCATACGGTCTTTGGTTATCGATTTTTATGGATTTAGGTGCCATTGCTGGCCTTACAAGTGTAGCACTGTCTGTGATGCTCTCACAGACCCGAATATTTTATGCAATGGCTCATGATGGTTTACTACCACCAATCTTTGCTAAAATTCATCTCCAGCGGGCAACTCCATGGGTGTATATATTAATTATTGGTCACTAATCTTCTTATACGATTTATAGAATGAATCTTATCTTCATTTTTTAGGTGTATTTTGCGCTATTGTTTCGGGTATTTGTCGAGTAGATATTCTTGGCGAAACATCGTCAATTGCCGCCTTAATTACATATATTTTCGTACAAATTACAGTCATAGTCGTTAGTTCAGTTGATTTGATTTTCTGTTGTATTATCTAGAGTGTCTTTTGTTAGATACGTTATAGACACAAAGATATTCCACGGCCATTTGAAGTGCCATTTGGTCCATGGCTAATTCCGACTGTTGGTTCCTTACTGTGTATTCTTCTGATGCAAGGTATAACGAAAACAACAGGTTATCGGTTTCTTGTGTGGACAGCATTAGGTCAAATTATTTATTTTTCCTATGGTTTTTGGCACTCTAAACGACGAAAATCAATAAAAAGTGCATCTATTTCAAGTGCAGTCGGGCTTCTACCAACAGTAGCAAGTATTACAGAACAATATACGCAATATGGACTTGAATCAGATTTAGCTAATGAAAATAGTGAAAGTAAAGTATAAAAAGCTTTCTTTACTGATACTTGTAAATATCAATATAAAATATTTTAATTTAAAAAAATATATAAATTATATCATGTTTGCCAATTCGATTTAACATAAGAAATGATTCATTATTGAGGATTTCGCTATCTCCTACGTCTGAAATTCCATCATGAAAATGACAGACTATAAAAAGATCATAAACCAGCATGTCCGAAAGCCTTCTAAACAGTTACGGGCATATTAATTCGCTGTCAGTTGATTAGAAGAGCATTCAGCTGTTTTCCGTAATGTTTGGAGCAAGCTGGTAAAGATGAGATCAATTGTTTGGAACTTACTTCAACACTTATTGATAATCGTGCTTTAGAAAAGGGCTTACCCGAATTTCGCCAATAAGACTTTCGCCAACTGGATATTCGCCAATGGCGAAAGTCCAGTGGGACATTGGCGAAATTCCAGTGGACTCTCGCCAATTGGCGAAAGTCACCGGGATAGATTTGCGAAAGTAAACTGGACTTTCGCCATTGGCGAATGTCCTGTTGGCGAAAGTCTTATTGGCGAAATTCGGGAATCCCGTTCGTTGACCTCTAAGACCGAAAAAGACTCGTTTTTCTCTGATGAAAGATTGAAGCTTTAATTAGATATTCCATATGTTTCCTTCGCAAAAATAATTTGACAATGATTTTCAACACAAGAGAAAAGAATTCTGAAAAAATGCTACACACTTAGTAATGTGTCACAGTATTCAGAAGCAGCAAGTTTGAGAATACGTCTGATTTCTCTTGCAGGCTCTGAAAGACATCGCGTTGCTCAGGCTATTATCGATAAAATCAAAGTGAAGACGGTCGTCATGTGCCTTGATGTACCATTTATATTCACGAGTTTTCAACTATCTGAAACAGTTGAAGATCAGTGCAGCTGCATCTGTCGCCTTCGCTCAAGCAAAGAGAAGTCCATTTGGCTTGTTGTCTCTTCTGTCGCGGGGGAGAATTTAATACCACTCATTCATAAGTATCCATGTCTTGAATTAATTTATGTCTTCTGCAATAATTCCGTTATGAGCGACAACGACCTTGAATGGACCAAACGATATTCCAAAATATCTGGTGTGTTCAGCACACGAGAATGTATCGAAAAGAAAATGGAGGAAGATTATCGTTCTTATTTGATAATGGCCTTAAGAGATAAAAAGTATCTACTATATTCACTTTACACACAAAGTTTATTAGCTGAAGATATTGAGGTTCAGCAAATGAGCGAGCGTGCTGATGATGATCTCACTATAAAGAGCATCTCCTGTTCCGATTGGACAAGTGAACCAGAAAAACCACTCAACAAAGAGCAAAGAGATTTCATTTCCTTTCAGTTGATGATCGAAATACTATTCAGTATACCGTCTTTGCCAGTGTGTGATTCTGAAATGATGTCTACATGTGTCCAACTAGATGACCAAGATCATCAATTATTTGAAGAGATCCAATCTGCGATCGCGAACTATTCATTCACTGATTTTCTGATTCGACTAACAAACAAATCGTTTGCTATACCTCGTCTCGTTCACAGACTTTTCAAAAACGAGGTTTCCATGTCCCAAATTTTGTCTCTTCAACAATTGTTGGTCTATTTTCGAGAGACGAAAAACTCATTGAATCATTGTACTTCCTCTCTAACCGCTTATTGTGTACGGATCATTGACCCTGAACAGATTCCTTCACTCAAGGCCAAAACCTGTGGCAATATTCTATTATGTATACCTTCGCCTATTCTTGCATCGACATGTGCTCTAACGGCTCGTATCCTCTCCCATCATGCAAGACAACAAGGCTACGAAGCTGTCGTACTTGAAATTGATGTACCGAGAAGATGCGCACCTATAGTCGCTTCCATTGATGCTAAGCGGCTTCTTTTTCCATTGGGGATAGCGTTTCGAGTTCGATCAATCGATTTAGCACCCAATCAAGTTTGGTATCTTCGATTACTGTGTCTGAAACAAGAGCTACATGTAATCAAGGAGCAATTGCAAGATCAAATTGGCGAACGTCTCACATGGTTAACATTCGGCAATTATCTTTCTATTCTTCAGACATATAAGCAAGCATCTGATTATTATCGATATCTGTTAGATCATCTCGATCAAGAGCATCCAGCTCGAGCTTCAATCAACAATAATATGGGTGTCATATTGGCTCGAAATCAGCAATATACAGAATCTTTTTCTTACTATGAGCAAGCGCTCGCTTTAGCAAAAGATGATGATATGAGAGAGCCGATGAAATGTTTGATTCGACGGCAAGTACGAATCATTCTACATTAAATCAAATTCTTGTACAATTTAAAGAGGCATTGACATATTTGAGTGATCCAATTTCTCAGAATATTTGTCGAGAGACTATATCATTTATCAATAAAAAATTATAGTCTTGTTCCTTTCATAAAAAAAATGTATCCATTCTGATGTTTTAGATTCATAATTCATATACCCAAGCAATAGACTAAACATTGATCGCAACCATAGATTCGGACACAACCAATGATTCTGCGATTTTTCAAGATTAAACTTGTGCCATTTTAATGAAAGCTACCAGTGAGTGATGCCATATAAATTTTCTCCAGATAGTAGCGTCAATCAAAGTCATAAGTCTAGCATGATATCGCAAAGAGGTAAATTCAACGATGCCGTCATGGGTGTTTGGCTATATGATGATGAAATGCCAGGTGACATCAGAGTCGAAATGAATCGAAGATTAGAGGCTGTATTTGGTTATACACGCTTCTTTGACGATTCTGGAGAATTCGTGCAGTACGTCAGAGAGGTGGCGAAAAACTGCTTATTATGTTGCATTATTAGTGGCGAAGAAGCGAGTCATATTTTGCATGTTTTAAACACATGTAAAAACTGTTGTTTCAAATACGAGTTCCAACATGAATTAATCCATATGAATTCTCCAAATAGAGTTTATGTTAATATTGAAACAATGTTCCAGACAATATTAGCTGATATAGAAACTTCTAACATCCAACAATCATTCGTTCCAACTAAGACACGCCCAACAGACATCACGTCGTCAGAAACGAGATTAGAATGTACCTTTTTACCATTCACCATTTACGAAGCTCGACTCAAGAATAACCCGATTCAGTATTTATCCCAAAGTTCGTTAAAGTTTCTATTATGCCAGAAAATGACAGAAGTGCTTGTGCAAATGAAACATGACGACAACGCAATCGATAGTATCGTAGAATTAAGCCGGATGTTCTATCTCGACAATAGTGCCTTGTGGGACGCGATTCAGTCTTTCAAGAATGACTACGACCCATCAAAATCTATTTACTATTTTACACAAAATTGTTTTATATTTCGTATTATAAGCCGAATATTTCGTAGTCAGGATATTTGGCTCATATACAAGTGTAGAAAATACATCGCAGATTTACACAATGCAGTGGTCAAATATTTCAACTTACAATCAGACTCCGAGAAACCGAAATGTCTCTATCGTGGAAAGAAGTTACCATTAACTACAATACAGAAACTTATTGACAACAAGAATTGCTTGATTGCCATCAATGGATTCGTTTCCACGAGCTCTGCTTATGAAGTAGGTGTAGCATTTTCGGGTCAAGGTCAATCAAGGTTTCGGTGCGGTAGCGTCCTATTCAAAATGCATCTCAAAGACAAGATGAATTACCCGTTCGCTGATATCTCGCAAATTAGCCACTTCAATCAGGAAAACGAGTTTCTCTTCTCTTTTGGCTCTGTTTGGCGAATTCGAGATGTTCGACAAGAAAATGACTTATGGGTAGTAGATTTGGATCCTTGCAATGACTACAAGAGGGAACTCGGAGACTTGAAAGATCTTCAGCTTCATGAGCAAACACTTCTCTCGCTCGTTCATATATTAATCAAACTGGGTGATGGAGTCAATGCGAAACGATTCTGCAACTTAATGCTAAAGGATACGTTACTATCCGAGAGAGAGAAAGGCCATGTTCACAATATTCTTGGAGTGCTTTATATGGAGGAACAGGATGAAGAAAAGGCTTTACAACATCTTCGAAAAGCCCTCTCACAAATACCACCGGAGACGTCAGATGAAAACAAAAACGCACCAGAGCCACGCTATATGTGCGTGGTGGATAATGAACCATGTCGCATGAAGATTTGCAATAATATTGGACAAATGTTTCAATTTCAGCAAGAATACGACAAAGCATCCGAATATTACAACAGAGGACTTCAAGAGAAGGGTTCCCGATTTGTCAAGGCTACGATCTCTTACAACTTAGGAGTTATAGCTCAGATTCAAAACAACTTCGAAACAGCACGTGATCATTATCGTCAAGCCGTAGAACTTAGCAAAGGTCAGTCAATGCAAGACAAGTTCAATAAGAATCTGGCAGCTGTCGAAAAGTATTTGGTGTCACATCCCACTCAACATATAATGGTCGTTGAGCATTGCAAGTACGTATATTGATCTTAGGTAACGTAGCGAAAATACAAAACTTGAGCGATTTGTTCTCTATGATTTCTATATGGTTAGATAGAGCTTATAAAACTGTATAAGAAAATATGCTTTTAAAAACTTTTTGATCTTTTATTTACAAAAAAACCAGTGGAGATACTAACTGTAACAGCATTTTATAGAGAAATCGCCTAATTTTAAGAAACAACAATCGATTTTGTGAAACCCACGTATATTTTCGAAGAAAATAGTGAGTGTAAGTTTTAAGTTCAAGGTTTTGCGGCTCCTCCCACCCCTCTCCCTCCTCTTACAGACAGGCCCCCTCACACCACAGAACCAAACAAAAGAACATTACATACACATACTCCCCTCCCCCTCCCACTTACAGACCATAGCAACCAAAAAGGAATATTATATATACATACTCCCTTTCCCCCTTACAGACCATAGCAACCAACAAAAAACATTGCATACACGTACCT